CCCCCCCCCCCCCCCCCCCTAAAAAATACTTAGGGTAAACTTGCATGGCAGCAGTGGCATGATGAGGCTCTGGCGTGGCAGTCATGACAGGTGTGGACAGTCAAGACGGGCATGGCGGCCATCTTGTGCAGAGGCTCTGGTGCGGGAGGCATGGTGTGAGCAGGCTGTGGCTTGACAGGCATGACGTGAGCAGGCTCTGGCTTGGCAAGCGTGATTTGAGCAGGCTTTGGCTTGGCAGGCATGATGTGAGCAGGCTCTAGCTGTGAGTTCATGGTCGGCCTCCGTGACTGTGACAGGATAGACTGTGAGTTCATGGACGGCCTCTGTGGCTGTGACTGGACAGATTGTGAGTTCATGGATGGCCTCCTTGGCCGTGACAGGTCAGGCAATGAGCTCAGATATGGCCTCCATGGCCATTACCGGACAGACAGAGAGTTCATGGACAGCTTCCTTGGTCGTGACAAGGCAGACAGAGAGTTCAGAAGTGGGCACTACTGCCTTGAGAGGAGCTGAAGCGGATGTCACCACCACAGGAGGTTCTGCAGCAGAAGCTGCTGCCACCTCTGGAGGTTCTGCAGCGGAAGCTGCCATCTCGGGAGGAACAGGGGCAGACTCATGGACAAGAGAGGCCTCTGGGGCAGACTCATGGACAGGAGAGGCCTCTGGGGCAGATTCATGGACATGAGTAACAGAACAGTGAGTAGCCCAAACACACAGGATGGCTACCGTCATAAAAGGAAGCACTGAGGATAGGGGAACAGCCTCTGTGACAGCCAGTGCTGAGGCCCTGGGGATGCCAGCTGCTCGCAGGACAGACTGTGAGTTCATGGAGAGCCTCTGTGGCTGTGACTGGCTGTGAAAGGACAGACTGTGAGTTCATGGACGGCCTCTGTGGCTGTGACTGGACAGATTGTGAGTTCATGGATGGCCTCCTTGATGGTGACAGGACAGGCAATGAGCTCAGATATGGCCTCCGTGGAGCAGTGGAGGACCTGGACCATGGAGCAGGGGCAGACCATGGAGCAGTGGTAGACTGTGGAGCAGTGGAGGACTTGAGTAACAGAGCATGGACTTGAGTAACAGAGCAGTGAGTAGCCCAAACACACAGGATGGCTACCACCATAACAGGAAGCACTGAGGATAGGGGAACAGCCTCTGTGACAGCCAGTGCCTTGGGGATGCCAGCTGCTCACAATGACATCAGATGTGGTTCCATCACACTGGCAAGCATTCTTATGAGTTCTGGACCAAGCTCCGCATCCACAGGAGCTTGGGTACTATAGCCCCCCATTGAGAAACAAGACACATGACTAAGACAACTAATGCCGAGTTCACACTGCATGACTTTAGCCCGATTTTTCACTCGTCGACAGGTTTTGCGAAATCGCCAGTGTGAGGCAAATCGAGGCAACATACCTGGCAATAAAAACTCATTCTGATTCTGATTCTGATTCTTCTGAATAACGTGAAACCAACAGTGATGCGACGTCTTTGAAAATAGTGCAGTGTGAAGTCGGCATAATCAACAGCATGACACATTGAACAAAGGAACCAATAGCAGGATCACATGACAGGGTAGGAAAACACATGACAGCAACATGAAACATGGTTAAATATCAAAATAAAAGACAAAAAAACTTAAATAAACTTTTTTTGAATGAATGCATCGGTTTCGAATGAGCGCACCTGTTTTTAAACAACAAAATAATGGCTGTTTCGTGGTCTGTTGAGGAAATACAGACGTTCCTCTCATTGATAGCCGAGAAGCGGATCCAGCGAGAGCTTCATGGGACAACGTGGAATGAAAAAGCTTTAAAGGGTTAGTTCACCCAAAAATGAAAATTAGACTGTGTTTTACTCACCCTCGAAGCATCCTAGGTGTATATGACTTTCTTCTTTCAGACGAATCCAGTCGGAGTTATATTTAAAATGGTCCTGGCTATTCCAAGCTCTATCATTGCAGTCAGCGGGTGTTGCAGTTGAACAGTCCACAAGTCGTCAAATAAAACGTGCCTCACACGGCTCCGGGGGGTGAATAAAGGCCTCTTGTAGTGAATCCATGCGTTTTTGTAAGAAAAATATCCATATTTCAAACGTAATAAACACTTTTCTCTCACTTCTGGTATCTGTCATATGTGGAAGCTTGTTAAAGCGAATATTTGACGACTTGTGGACTGTTCAACTGCAATGACTGCAATGATAGAGCTTGGAATAGCCAGAACAATTTTTAATATAACTCCGACTGGATTTGTCTGAAAGAAGGAAGTCATATACACCTAGGATGCCTCGAGGGTGAGTAAAACACAAGCTAATTTTCATTTTTGGGTGAACTAACCCTTTAACGACATGTCTATAATCCTGCCCACTGTAAAGCTGTACTAAACTGCAGTGGAAATGCAAACTGAGCCGAGCCGGGCAGTACCGTACCGTGCCGTACCGAGCCGTACCATGTAGTGGAAAAGTGTCATTACAGTATTTACAATGGCACGCACTCTATAAAGGTCCTAGATAATGCAATTTTCAGCAACTCACTACTTTTAAAACTGTTTTATGGAGGGTTTTTTTGGTCTAATGAAAGTTTTTTTTTAAAGACATTTCACCAGATGAACAATGGGTATGTTAAACAACAGTACAGCGACATTGAACACAGTACTTCTAACCCTCATAGCCTCATCTTCATTCCTGAGATGCTGTTTATTTATAAAGATTCGGAGATGTGAGCTCTAGGGCCTCAGCGGCCATTTGTTTTATATAACTTTAATGCTGTATCAGAGCACTGCATTTGTACTTTTGACTGAATTATTTGCTTGTGTTTATTTCCTTTTATAATGGCTATTATTTTTTATTAAATATTATTGTTCAATAAATAATATTTTATATAAATAGTAATAGTATTTAATAATATTATTTACTATTGAGAAACGGTCTATGTGTTAGCGATGGTGATTATGACTTCAGTGGAGGTTACATCGTTATACCATTAGATGGTGAAAAGAGTCTTTATAGTAGAGTTAGAGTCATTGCTTTTTATTTTCTTCTGCTGAACAATAAAGAAGATATTTTGTAGAATGTTGGTTACCAGACAGTTGACAGTATGCATTGACTTCCATTGTACCTTTTTCATATCTATTTTTGTTTTTCATTGTCATGAGAAATCCCCTTAACCATTGAAAGGATACTATGACAAAGATAATGCTTTCTTCAGAGGACATTCAAACTATCTGTTATATATACATGGCATTTATTCAAATGAATTAATTTTTTGTCTTTCTGGATATTTCAGGTGCTTACAGTACTAGCCAGGGAATTGAAATGATTCGTCAGGACATTGCACGGTACATTGAACAGCGAGATGGAGGAATCACATGTGACCCTGACAACATTTACTTATCCACAGGAGCCAGTGATGCGATCGTGGTAAGCAGATATGACAAACAGACCAAAATGTAACATCAATTTTTTTAAAGTGTTCATGGGAATTGATTTATACAAAATAGATATGTGCATCACACACTCTAGACCAGAGTCTCATCTTCACACTCTTGTGAAGCTTAGGTCCAACCCTGCTCCAATACGCCAACCTGTATAGTTTTCAATTCTGAAAACTTTGATTATGAGGTTCAGATGGGTTGGTTTAATCAGTGAGTTGAGATAAATTTTCACCAGAGTGAATTTTAACTCAAGGACACTGAAAACTTGTCAGCACTGCCCTGTGACTTTTATCAGTAAAATAGTTTTGCTGTTAAAAAGCTGCATTATAGTACACAGCAATAATGTGGTAATATTGCTGTCTAGAGAGACATGGCACAGAAACAGGTAACTGACATGCACAATTTCCCGCTCTTTAAAAGAAAGGTAATTTTATTGCGCTACTTTATTTTACTTCAAAATTCTAGATGTGATGACCTGTAGATAAAGTAAATAGTGCTGTCAAATTTTCGGGCATTCCAACTAAGGTTTGTGGTCACACATAAGGCTCTCTTGCAATTTTCCTGAATCAAAACCCAGTGTGAACTTATGATCTCCAGCATTTGCTGGCAGCAATGCTAAACATTGCCAGGACTGGGCGGTATGACATTATATATCGTTTCCGCGGTATAAAATGTCAGCCTTAACAGATTTTTTCATTCTGTGTATACCGCGACATGTAAATAAGTAGGCGTGGTTAACTCACATACAGCGCACATCAGACTGAGACGCTGCCATTTGTCAAAGAAACATGGAGAAAGATGAATGAACAGATCAGGAGGTTCCACAAAGGATTCAGTTTTCTAAAGGGTTGTTAATAACATGTTGGAACAAAGGTGCAACAGTCAACCGCGAGAGCAGCGCAGCACCCTCAGTTTAGAGGAGCGCACAGGCTCACAACACAGAGGGAGCAATGAACAACCTGCTTGTTAAAGCGAATGTACTTAATCTGAGGCAAAATGACTAAATATTGAGAATGCAACCGAGCGTATTATATTTTTCTAACTCCAAACGATCAAACGCTGATCACCTCCTGTGATTCATCTTAATTTGACGCTCAAATTAACTGATCACATTTTAATACTGCAGAAGGTGCGCACACGCAGTGAGAGGCGAATATGAAAGGCTGAGCACGTGTCAGTCTTCACCATGCTGGAGTCAAATAATGATGTGGTTATAAGGTGTGTATAATTTAAACAGCTTAGTCAGCACAACAGTAGTTGATGTTCAGTTTGCATACTGCTGCTCTCCTTCTGGTCACTATTGAACTCTTCACTCTGGTATTAATAGTATCCTACTTATTAAGGAAGTAATTTTAAAATAATTTTAAATTAATTCAGAAAACTATATTTAAAGTTTAATTGCACCTACATGTTGCATTTAATATTAGTCAGTTGGGGGCAGTTAATCTAAAAGTTGAGTGTGCTTTTACTAAATTAATCATTTACCAAATAAAAAGAAAGATGGGTAAAGTACTTTTAATTTCTATAGTATTTGAGTTTATTTATAATATAAAGCCCTTTTGTCAATTTTCAGAATAACTACATATCTAAATAACTATATCGTAAAATATATCATTACCATGAAATAAAATTAGTCATACCATGAAATTTTGGTCATACCGCCCACCTCTAGCCCCAGCGTATTTCAAAGCATCTGTGTGTCGAGACTCCTAAACAGACATTTGAGGAAGAATACCAGTACAAACAGCTCAGCATGTTTTGTGCAATAAATAACACGTACTGCATGATTTTTGTGGATTGTATTGCGAGCAAAACCATGTGTATTTGTATGTTTTTCCTGTGTGTAGAGTTGTAAATTTACTGTGTATTTATTGCATGTATTTATTTATTGTTTTTGGGATTATGATATATTATTTTCTTATCACTCATCAACTGTAAATGCAAGCTCTCCAGATGGATATTATTATCAATATCTACAGCATTTACAGTAAATCAGATTATTCCTGGATAATGTATTTTTATCCATGTCAACGTTTCTCTTATCAAACTTAAGTAACCATTTCTCTTCAGATTTTTGACTAAAATTTAGGTGCATCCCTAAGACTCTAACCAGTTGAAATATATAATAGAAACAACAGCTTTCCTATTTTTATGCATGCATGGATAAAAGTTGATACTGCGCAACGACAGACACAGAACATGCGGCTACATTTATTTGTGGAACTTAAGAAATGTATTCGGTTTGAACCGGAACACCATATTCCTTCAAAATTCACTCAGACTCACTCCTCAAAATTCACTCAGATTTTATGTACATTTTATGTGAAGAGCACTTTTAAGTCAGTATTTTCATTTCTTTACTTGCCCACTGGTGTCGCAACATTACTCAAACTACTAAAAAAAGTGTACACAAGGTCATGTTAGGTGTGTGCATTTTTCTGGTAAGTTTATTTTTATTTTATGTTATGTGTCTGTGGGAAATGGAGTACACACTTTTCAATGCCTAAAATGGACAGTAAAAATACAGCATAGGCATAGGAGCAAAACCATAAAAGCACAGATAGATACTGTTAGAAAACAGCAAATATTGTTTTTATGTTTGCATGACAATATACTGTACAAAGGGAGTCGTGACAACAAAGTGGGGATCCACGTGCAGGCTTTATTCCAAAGAGTGTAGTCAGAACTGGCAGGGTCAAACACCAGCAAACAAACCCATCCAGGGCAAAGACAAAAGAGTAATCCACAAGTCAGGCGAAGGTCAGGGCAGGCAGCAAACAATAATAAACAAGTCAAGTCAAGTCACCTTTAACAAGGCGCTCTGATTGTTTTTGTTGTAGAATACGATAGGGGATATATTCACACGTTATAAAACTGAAAAATAATGGTGTATAAAATCGATTTTAAGATAAAAAATTTTTACGACAAAGAATTAACTTGACGGAGCTCAAACTCAAACCACACGGCACGACAAGGAGACAGTCCAGGGATCAAAACATGTAGGTGAGGAAATAGGGAAACTAGAAACACGGAAACTAAGAAAAACACGGAAGAGCTAAGCAATATTCAATCACCAGTGAAAAGAGAGTGTGTCTGTGCTATTCTTATAGTCCTACTAATATGAGGCAGCTGTGAACTGGTAATGAGAGTGATGAGTCCAGGCAAAGGATTGTGAGAAATGGAGTCCTGGGTGAATGATAAAAGTCAGGGATGGAGTGCCGTCTGGTGGAGCTCATGGGCACTCCAGTGGGTGATCGGGACAGAGCCCCCCCCCCCCCCTCTAAGGAGCGGCTTCCAGATGCTCCTTAACTGACCAGAGTTCAGGAGGGAGGTGGAGCAGAGGCGGAACAGGGGGAGGGATGGAGGACTAGGTCCATGAGGAAGGGGAGGAACAGAGGACTGAGGTAAAGCCGGTGGAGCAGGAAGCCAAGGCAGAGCAGTGAGCTAAGGCGGAGCCGGCAGAGCAGGGTGCCAGGGCGGAGCCGACAGAGCAGGGTGCCAGGGCAGAGCCGAAGAGCACCAGGGCAGAGCAGGCAGATCAGGGGACCACCAGAGCGGAGCTGAAGACCACCACGGCGGAGCAGACTGAGCTGACGGCTTTGAAGACTACCAGGATGGAGCAGGTGGAGCTGAAGAGCACCAGAGCGGAGCAGAAGACCACCATGGCAGAGCAGACGGGGCTGACGGCTTTGAAGACCACGAGGACGGAGCAGGCAGAGCTGAAGAGCTGAAGAGCACCAGAGCAGAGCGGGTGGATCAGAGAACCACCAGGGCAAAGCAGAAGACCACCAGAGTAGGGCAGAAGAACACCACGGCGGATCTGTCATGACTGAAACAAAAGGCACTGAGAGGTTACTGTGGCCGTAACAAGACGGATGGACAGTTCAGAAACAGCATCTTTGGTCGTAACAGGGCGAGCAGAGAGTTCAGGGGCAGCTCTTTTGACCGTGACATGACAGGCAGAGAGTTCAAAGATGATCTCCCTGGTCGTGGCAGGACAGACTGAGAGTTCATAGACGGTCTCGTTGACCGTGACAGGACAGACAGAGAGTTCAAAGATGACCTCCTTGATATTGACAGGACATACTGAGAGTTCATAGACGGTCTCCTTGACTGTAACATGACCTGGTTGGAACAGGAAAGGCAGAGAGTTCACAGATGGCCTCCATAGCCGTGACAGGACAGGCAGAGAGTTCACAGACGGCCTCCATAGCCGTGACAGGATAGGCAGAGAGTTCACAGATGGCCCCCATAGCCGTGACAGGAGAGTCAGTGAGTTCACAGACGACCTCCATAGCCATGACTGAACAGTCATAGAGCTCTGAAACAACCTCCTTGGGCATTACAAGACAAACAGAATTTGTGACCGGCCTTCCTGGCCAGGACAGGACAGTCACTGAGTTAAGAATAGACCTCCTTGGTCGAAACAGGACAGACTGAGAGTTCAGAAACGGCCTTCTTAGCCGTAACAGGACTTACTGAGGGTTCAGAAACGGCCTCTTTGGCCGAAACAGGACAGGCAAAGAGTTCATAAACGGCCTCCTTGTCCATGGATGGACAGGCGAAGAGCTCAAAGACGGCCTCCCTGGCCGAGACAGGACAGGCTGAGAGTTCTGATATGGTCTCATTGGCCGTGATAGGACAATCAGAGGGTTCACAGGCGGCCTCTTTGGCCGCGGCTGGACTGGCAGAGAGCTCAAAGGCGGATGTTGCCACCTCTGGAGTTTCTGCAGCAGAAGCCGCCACCTCGGGAGGAGCTGAAGCGAATGTCGCTGCTTCGAAAGGTCCGGCAGTGCTAGCTGCCACCTCAGGAGGAGCTGGAGCAGACGCCGCCGCTTCGGGAGGTTCTGGAGCAGATGCCACCACCTCAGGAAGAGTCATTGGAACAGGAAACGGCACTCCTTGCCGTGACGAGGGAACTGGAGTGGACTCAAGGACTGGAGCAGGCTCTGGGACTAGAGTGGACTCAGAAAAAGATTCGGGGACTAGAGTAGGCGCCACCACCTCAGGAGGTTCTGCAGTGGGAGCTGCAACCTCTGAGGAAACTACGGTGGTGTGTGTGACCCAAACACACAGAATGGCCATAGCCATAACTGGTAGGATAAAGAATACATCGTCTATCACAGAGACTGAAGGTGCTGTGCCAGGGGAACTGGAGTGAGTAGCGTAGTAGTAGTTGAAGCATTTATATGTGGACGGAGATTTTTTTTAAAACGGAAGAAGGAAAAACTCAGTTTATAAAAATACCCGTGTACATGTGGACATGGCCTTATAGTCCTACTAATATGAGGCAGCTGTGAACTGGTAATGAGAGTGATGAGTCCGGGCAAAGGATTGTGGGAAATGGAGTCCTGGTAGAGCCCTGCACGGGCCTCAAATATAGGCCCTAGCCCGGCCCTGGCCCGAGACGCTCAGGCCCTAGCCCGGCCCGTGTCCGACAGCTCATCAGAATTCTTGGCCCGAGTCCGACCCCAGTCCGACCCGAGCCCGTCTTTTCCCCCCTTCTCGCAAAACAGCTTATACTATTGTTTCAGCTATTAAAATAGTTCCGTTTTGTATGTAATGTCAAAACGATTATATTTCATTTCGTTTTTTTATTAAGTTAATTTAGAAAACCTTTTGGAGCACTTTTTGTTCGTCAAATGTAAGTAACGACCAAGCGGCCAGAGGCAGACAGTGAGTTGATCATATGTTTGATCAGTTTAGCCTTCTCAAATCATCACGACTTGCCTAAAATAAAATCTATACATATAAAACAGTTCAAGCCTATCACAATGTTAGTTTAAATGTTTAGCCTATATAAATGTGCGCTATTAGACGCATATCTATTCGTTTGTGCGAAGAGCTAAAGCGCACTTTACAGGACATGGATCCGGGCGCGATCATTTGCATTGGAAACAACGTAAAATATGCCGTAATTTTTGCTCATAAAGGTAAGAATAATGCATCACTCGGCACTATAAAGGGTCTACTTTTATTTGTGTGCACTCACAATATCAACAAAACGTTGTGCTTTTATAAAATAAAGGATACATACAGGATGCGCTTTCTGTAATTTCGTGCAGGAGCGCTTCACAATTATTAACCGAAACTCAGCGAATACTTGCCTAACAGACTTGCTAAATATATCTATAGAAAGCTTTAAATTACTACTTTAAAACTAAATAATTCAAATCAAAAACAAAAACTCTTTTTACAGATTTTATAAAAAAATCCGTAAAAATGCATTTATCGCTAAAGGCGCGTCCAATGAGGAGATGGCGAGTCAGGATCGTCATCTTCATCTTTGCGACACGGACTAAGAAAACACTAATTTATTAATAAATAATTCAAATATCTTCTTACTATCTTCTACCAGAGGTAGTCGAGGACGCATTGTGATCGGATTTCAGTGTAATGTAAACGCAATCCAGCCATCGTGTCTGCATTTGCAGGTCGACAAAATGCAACACGCATTCTCTCCCGATCTGTCAGAAGAACAGAGCGCTAGTGAGACTCGTACATTTATTTTGATTTGTAAAATGTCCCGCGACTGATAATAGTTTTCAAAAGAAAACCCACCACTTTAGGTCGACTTTGCACCACAGACTTATTTAAATATTGCGCAGGAAATCTGTTGATGTTGCCAAGTGTAAACGTGCCGTGTCCTGATTGACTGATGATCCGATCTGCTTGATCAGATCACGGTGATCGCATGTTAAAGAGATAGTTCACCCAAAAATTCTGTCATCATTTAATCACCCTCTTGTCGTTCCAAACCTGTATGAGTTGCTTTCTTATGTTGAACACAAAAGAAGATATTTTGAAGATGGCTGGTAATCAAACAGTCGGTGGTTGCCATTGACTTCCATAGTATTTTTTTTGGAAGTCAATGGCAACCACCAACTGTTTGATTACCAGCAATCTTCAAATAATCTTCTTTTGTGTTCAACATAAGTAAGCAACTCATACAGGTTTGGAACGACATGAGGGTGAGTAAATGATGACAGAATTTTCTTTTTTGGGTGAACTATCCCTTTAATGCCAAGTGTTATGCAGCCTAAGTTAATGAAGACAGAACTATAGTGGCCTGTTTAAAGATTAAACTGACCTGCACGTGACGCACTACACAGCTACATTTCGCTTTTTCTGGCATGGCCGCTTCATCTTCATTCTCCATTTTTTGCATTGAATTTTGCATTGATTCTCTTGTATAAATGGCTGCATGAAAACTTGAGTGTGTGTGGAAAAGCTTCTTTTAAAAAAAACATATGCTATTAGGATAAAATCTACACAAAGTTTTATTCACGTGCTCCTGGATACTATAGACCAGGGCTGTCCAAACTCAGTCCTGGAGGGCCGGTGTCCTGCAGAGTTTAGCTCCAACCCTAATTAAACACACCTGAACCAGCTAATCAAGCTCTTACTAGGCATAGAAACTTCCAGTCAGGTGTGTTGAGGCAAGTTGGAGCTAAACTCTGCAGGACACCGGCCCTCCAGCACCGAGTTTGGACAGCCCTGCTATAGACTCTTTATGTTTAAATATTTTCACTAAATGTCAGTGTGTTAGAGAATGAAATATCAGAATTACTTTTAACGATCTGTCTTTGTCCATGTGTCAGACCATGCTTAAATTGCTGGTATCAGGAGAAGGAATGTCTCGTACAGGAGTGATGATTTCCATCCCTCAGTATCCACTGTACTCCGCTGCTCTGGCTGATTTGGGTGCTGTACAAATCAGTTATTATCTGGATGAAGACAACTGCTGGAGTTTGGACATCTGTGAGTTACGACGCGCCCTGCAGGAAGCAAAGAAGCACTGCAGCCCTCGAGCACTGTGCATTATAAATCCTGGAAACCCTACAGGTTTGATGACAAATCTATCAGCTTTTTTTATGGTGGTCAGTTTGTGATTCCCAAAATCAGAGCAGAAAGTCTTAAATACATAAAGCTATGGCATGAAATGTTGCATGCACTGCAAAAATAAAATAAATAATAAATCAATCAATAAAATGTAATATAAAAATGTAGATACATTTACATGAGATGCAAAATAAGAATAAGTCTTGCTTTCTTTGGAATTTAACAAAATTAAATAAGTTTATGCTTAAAGCAAGAACAAATATCTGTCAATGGTGTATGCAAACTAGTATTCTTTTGAATTTTTTTCTGACCACATTGACATTGTTGTTTTAATCTTAAACTCACTTAATTGTTTCTCAGAAAAAAAGACTTTTTATTTTATGTCTTCTTATCTATGTAAAGGTTATTTCCATATTCTAGTGTTTATTCAGGATATTCAAGTCTTTAATCTATTTTTTTATGTAAAATGAATTAAAACATAATAGAGATCTGTTGGAAGTTGCTAATACAACTCATTGCCTGCTTGCTAGACTTTCACATATAGTATTGAGTTCCTTTCAATTGTCCTTTAAATTTCGATTACTTGGTCTTAAAAAGGTAAAAAAAAAAAAAAAAAGGTCTTAAATTTACCTTCATAAAACCCACAGAACCCTGTAGTAGTATTTATTAAGGATTTCTCAATTATCCAAACTTTTATTTGCATGAAATTGTTGTTGCAGTTGTGAAGACAGGAACAATCATTGGGCTAGAAAACATCAAACTAATATGGCAACACTGTTTGTCTTTACCTGACAGGTCAAGTGCAAAGCCGGCAGTGCATTGAGGATGTGATCCGATTTGCTGCAGCAGAAAAGCTTTTCCTCATGGCTGATGAGGTGATTTGTATGATAGGCTTATACATTTTTTTTCAAAATAAATACATAAAAACACACATTAATAATATTTTCAACACGCCCTGTTTTATCCAGGTCTATCAAGACAATGTTTACGCGGACGGGTGTAAATTTCACTCCTTTAAGAGGGTTCTGTTTGAAATGGGTCTGGAATACTCTGAGAAAGTGGAACTAGCTTCGTTTCACTCAACGTCAAAATGCTACATGGGAGAGTGAGTATCCAAAACAAGAGAAGAGCAGTTGACCTTTAGGTGATTTGGGAGAATTATTCCATAGGGAATATTATAGAATTTCTTCCTAACAACTTCTTGTTTTTAAAGGTTTAGTTCACCTAAAAATCCAAATTCTAACATCGTGTCATTTTGAATCCGTAACTCTTTCTTGGAAACACAATTTAAGATATTTTTTAATCAAACCTGAGAGATTTCTGTCCCTCCACTGAAAGCCCATTACATTAAAGTTTGACAATTCAAAAGTTTCAAGACCTCTGAAAAGACATGATTGCTTTATATGATGAAAACGTGAATTTTGGCTTTTATTCACATATAAACATTGATCAACACACATACAGAGAGCTCATCGAATATGGTAAACACAGCATCAAACACACTTGCTTTATGCTCCTGAATCAGTGAGGGTTGAACTTGCATTTCACACAAGCACGTTTGAGCACAATCATCACATACTGCTTTCACCAGTTACAAACACATTTGTAGTCGATTTAAAGAAAATGTCCTATATTGTTCCTCCATGGTTTGAAATGAAGGTTATGAGATGATGTGGGAAAAGCATACAGTATACAAATACTGTGAAAGAAATTATTTGTTTTGACCAAATAGTAGTGTTCTAAAATAAATCAAGTAAACAGTTAAGCTCTAAACCTGTCTGTCTTGCTTCTTTAAGGTGTGGTTTTCGTGGTGGTTATATGGAGGTGGTAAATCTAGACCCTGAGGTGAAAGTTCAACTCACTAAGCTGGTATCTGTGCGGCTGTGTCCTCCAGTGCCTGGGCAGGCTCTTCTAGATGTTGTGGTCAATCCACCCCAACCAGATGAACCCTCATATGACACATTCATTAAGGTCTATATTGTCCCATTGACTGTTTCCTTTGTACACTCTAAAAAATAACCCAGTGGATTTGTAAATAACGTATTAATAAATAGCTATAATAATATCTCTGAATGTCACTTAAGTTCTTTTTTTATTCGAACTGCTTACAAATCCAACAGTTAATTTAGTCTAAAATTTAGATATATTTTTTCACTAAAAGAAATTAGTATTTGACCAAGAAATTATATTTTTAAGATATACTCAATATTTTTGTTGAGTGTTGAACTACAGTTATCACTCCATATTAATATTCTTGCATCTTTAACAACAACTTAAAAAAATTAAGTTAGAAACAATTAACAATCTTGTGCAAAGAGAGGGAACATTTCTTTTAAAAAAAAAAGGTCTTAAATTTACCTTCATAAAACCCACAGAACCCTGTAGTAGTATTTATTAAGGATTTCTCAATTATCCAAACTTTTATTTGCATGAAATTGTTGTTGCAGTTGTGAAGACAGGAACAATCATTGGGCTAGAAAACATCAAACTAATATGGCAACACTGTTTGTCTTTACCTGACAGGTCAAGTGCAAAGCCGGCAGTGCATTGAGGATGTGATCCGATTTGCTGCAGCAGAAAAGCTTTTCCTCATGGCTGATGAGGTGATTTGTATGATAGGCTTATACATTTTTTTTCAAAATAAATACATAAAAACACACATTAATAATATTTTCAACACGCCCTGTTTTATCCAGGTCTATCAAGACAATGTTTACGCGGACGGGTGTAAATTTCACTCCTTTAAGAGGGTTCTGTTTGAAATGGGTCTGGAATACTCTGAGAAAGTGGAACTAGCTTCGTTTCACTCAACGTCAAAATGCTACATGGGAGAGTGAGTATCCAAAACAAGAGAAGAGCAGTTGACCTTTAGGTGATTTGGGAGAATTATTCCATAGGGAATATTATAGAATTTCTTCCTAACAACTTCTTGTTTTTAAAGGTTTAGTTCACCTAAAAATCCAAATTCTAACATCGTGTCATTTTGAATCCGTAACTCTTTCTTGGAAACACAATTTAAGATATTTTTTAATCAAACCTGAGAGATTTCTGTCCCTCCACTGAAAGCCCATTACATTAAAGTTTGACAATTCAAAAGTTTCAAGACCTCTGAAAAGACATGATTGCTTTATATGATGAAAACGTGAATTTTGGCTTTTATTCACATATAAACATTGATCAACACACATACAGAGAGCTCATCGAATATGGTAAACACAGCATCAAACACACTTGCTTTATGCTCCTGAATCAGTGAGGGTTGAACTTGCATTTCACACAAGCACGTTTGAGCACAATCATCACATACTGCTTTCACCAGTTACAAACACATTTGTAGTCGATTTAAAGAAAATGTCCTATATTGTTCCTCCATGGTTTGAAATGAAGGTTATGAGATGATGTGGGAAAAGCATACAGTATACAAATACTGTGAAAGAAATTATTTGTTTTGACCAAATAGTAGTGTTCTAAAATAAATCAAGTAAACAGTTAAGCTCTAAACCTGTCTGTCTTGCTTCTTTAAGGTGTGGTTTTCGTGGTGGTTATATGGAGGTGGTAAATCTAGACCCTGAGGTGAAAGTTCAACTCACTAAGCTGGTATCTGTGCGGCTGTGTCCTCCAGTGCCTGGGCAGGCTCTTCTAGATGTTGTGGTCAATCCACCCCAACCAGATGAACCCTCATATGACACATTCATTAAGGTCTATATTGTCCCATTGACTGTTTCCTTTGTACACTCTAAAAAATAACCCAGTGGATTTGTAAATAACGTATTAATAAATAGCTATAATAATATCTCTGAATGTCACTTAAGTAATTTTTTATTCGAACATACCAAAATAAATGCTTACAAATCCAACAGTTAATTTAGTCTAAAATTTAGACTTTTTCTAAAGAAATTAGTATTTGACCAAGAAATTATATTTTTAAGATATACTCAATATTTTTGTTGAGTGTTGAACTACAGTTATCACTCCATATTAATATTCTTGCATCTTTAACAACAACTTAAAAAAATTAAGTTAGAAACAATTAACAATCTTGTGCAAAGAGAGGGAACATTTCTTTTTCCCAGCATGCTTTGATGCTGATTGTACAGGGAGTGTAAATGTTGAAATTGAGTGTTATTTTGTTATTCTGTGTCAAGGACAGACCAAGAGGTTTCACAACTATAAAATGTACTCAATATTTTTAAGTCTATACTTGTTTCATCCCCTCCCCCCGGACCCAAGGAAAAGAGAAAAAAATTAAGTACATCATACTTAAAATTTTTTAGAGTGTACAGGTTGACAAATTTCTCTAGCCAACAAGAAAGTAATCAAACCTTTTCTCCATTGTCTTCAGGAACGCACAGACACTTTGGCCACACTGGCAGAGAAGGCCAGCATGACGCAAGAAATCTTGAATCAGGTCCCAGGAATAAAATGTAACCCAGTGCAGGGTGCAATGTACACTTTCCCACGTATCCACCTCCCACCGAAAGCCATCCTGGAGGCCAAGGTAGGATGAACTTGTGATCAGTAAAACCTAACAATTGTTCACTTGCCACTTCATGCATTTTTACTGATCAGATACCTATCTGATTTCTAACAGACAGCTGCTTGGTTTGAAAGTGATTTCTGTGTGAGCTGTGCTTAATACATTGCTACACTATTGACAACAGACATTTGCTATTGACACACTATTTTCCTAATTAATGCTGTTCAGTTGCTTTGACACAATCTGTATTGTTAAAAGCCCTATATAAATAAAGGTGACTTGACTTGACTTGACTATTGTAACTACCCTTTGAAGTGAATTGATTGGGATTCATAGGGCATATTCCACTGAGTTACCATAATTTACTGGGACAGTGCAACCCTAGCCCTAACAATTGACTACCCATAAAATTAAAGTGGAAATCCTTCACTCCTACTAATTCTTCAGTGCACGCAAAGTTTAAGAGCTGTCACAGATCCTTTATGAACCTAGAAATGGCTGAATAATAGTTTACAGCCAAAAGTAGTGGGTGTTTCTTTTTCTCAAATATTGTCTCAAATATTTTATAAGATATTGTTGTTAATATTCTCTGATTATAGGCCTTTGTATTTGTTAGTTATTAAAGAAGCAGAATTTTGATTTTGGCCTTTATTTGCTCTAGAAGATTATGTTGTTCTGTACATATAAGTGAATAATTTCAGAATAATGATGAATAGTTTAGGAATCGAGAATATAACATGCCCTTGAACGAAAAAAGCTGTCTGTGAATCACAAAGTAAACAAAGTAAGAATTGCAGGATTGGTTTTAGTTGCAGGATTGGTTTTACTACTACACTTGATACACACTTTCTCTGTCACCTAAGGATTTGACCTTGAATTTGTAGTTAGTTTACGAGCATGTCTCTAGACATGTGTGACGTCTGCAGCGAATAATGTCATTACGAACAATAGGAACACATTTACACAGCTGTCATATACAAACCCAATTCCAAAAAAGTTGGGACACTGTACAAATTGTGAGTAAAAAAGGAATGGAATAATTTACAAATCTCATAAACTTATATTTTATTCACAATTTGTACAGTCCCAACTTTTTTGGAATCGGGTTTGTATTATATTTCACTTGTTTGACTTGAACAGCATCATAAAACTCTAACCAAAATCTCCCATCCAATCCAATTTTAGGAGAAGGGACAAGTTCCGGATATGTTTTACTGTATGAAGCTTCTGGAAGAAACGGGCATCTGTTTGGTTCCTGGCAGTGGCTTTGGGCAGCGAGATGGCACCTACCATTTCAGGTATTTCTCTCTTTTTACAAACAAGAATGATGAGATTAGCCTTGGATATGTTTGTGACAAAGGTTCGGGTGTCCTAGTCCAGAAGGAGCTGATGGGAAATTAAGAGTGAAATAACATCAGAAATAAAAGCCAATACAAAAAATGTTTGTTATAAAATGTATAAAGTATATAAATTAAGTTATAAACGGAAGTTACATTTTTTTTTAAATGTACCATTGGGAAAAGTGGGCAAACATCCTACAGGCTTCAGTTCCAAACTTGCTCCAACACACCTACACTCAAAAAAAAATAACTCTTTGGTTGAAAATGATTCAATCATGGACAGTGGTTCTACATGGTTGAATCAGTTATTTGGAATTGTCTAATTTTAGTTCAGTATTTGTGTAGAGATTCCATTGTGTAGAACCACTTTCTGTGCAAGTTCAGCCAAAATGTTATGATGACATACTAGCAAGTTAAATACAACTTATTTACACATGTTAGATTTCGGCAGTCTAAAGATAACACTGTCTACATCCCTAGAACTCCCATTGGAGTTGAATTCTATTTAGCAGGTCCTCAACCCAAGCACACACTCCACACTTCACCACAATGGTAACTCGCACAGAAACGGAACAGAAAGTGTTTTAAAATACCAACATAATAGACTTTTCACAAGTCTCCCTATTTTCTCATCTTGCTAAAAATGCATAATGCATAAAAGCACTTTATTTCAGCATTTTCCCTCCCCATATCCAGCCCTGTGCAAATGATGGGAAGTGTAAAACTGATTTTGAGCTACTTGATTGAAACCTGTTCTTTTAAAATAAAAACATTGATTTAAGCCAAAAAAGGAGCCATTTCAAGTAAATTTAACATGATGCAGTCATGTTTGAACAAGAAACCTGATACAATGTTATTGAATCAAAATGAATTGTTCAAATAAATAGAACAGTGTCAGAGGCAATCCTCATATGCAAAGTGCGCATTTTGCGTAGGGCACCAAAAACACCAGTTTTGTTTTTTTATTTTGGCCAGTCATTATGAAAACATGAATGTTCCTTTCCTTAACTGCTAATAACATTGCAGTGTTAAGAAAGTTAACATTGTAAATTTCAAAAAGGCAATCTGTTAGCCTCATTTATTTACAAAAGATAAAGTAAAATGTAAAAAAAAATCAATTACATTTAAGACTACAGTGATCTAAAAGGAGTTGGCAGAAGCCATTTTTTATGCTTACTCTTCTCACAATTTCAAAATGTATGTTCATTCAATCTCTTTTAATATTATAACTATTAAGCATCTCAACATGAAACAACAAAATATTATGTATTCATATTTTATTAACTGGCCATGTGTAAACATATGGAGGGAAAAGCTTTAAAATATGTTAAGGAATTACAATTATTTTTAGAAATGTATAAATATTGTTTTGTTGGGTGTGACACTGTGCTCACTTCTGCCAAAGCTGCAATGATTACTAGATTAAGAGCCAGGGGGTGTAAACTTTTTGAACAAGATGATCAGTCTAAATTAGAATAATTTTGTCATTCTTAGAAAAACTTAAATATCTTCTGTAGCTTCTGAAGGGCAATACCAAATAATTTTGGTATGAATATTCTACTTTTTTTTATATACTTTAGTTGTCCTCTGTGTGAAAATATGGATTTTCTGAAGAACAATGTGTAGTTTAGCTGCATATAGGACAAACGAAGGATTTATGAACAGCTGTCACAAAACAGAAAAACCGTTGTTGATCATCCAGGTATTGACACACAGTAAATTTATTTTATTTTATTATTTTGTCTTGTGGACTATATGTAAACATCTGTTTGTGAAATGGTTTATTCAGGGCAGTGCTGCTTAAAAATGCATTTTTTAATGATCTTATTTTGAATTATTAACATATATATTGCCAATTCTGTCAGGTGTATATAACTAGTGCTAGATTTTGATGCTTTTTGCAAGTGGTGGCCAAGTTAGCCGTCATGCCAGTTATAGAATTAGTTTGGACTTCTGTGTCAAAGTCTGAACACACACTTTGCATTTTTGCAGCATAAACTGTGGTTGTTTGTTGTTGGTAGATTCTTGCGTTATCACTTGAAACATGTTTTTTTTTTAAATTCACAAGTTATGCCTCAGGACCTCAGTATCTGTCCTTAGCCACAGACAGCCTCCCAATGCCATTATAGCTTTTCCCTTCAGCTTCAAAACCAATAGTTGAACTCATCTTTTAATCACATAAATGTCCACTCAGATAATTTATTTTTTCTTTCAGTAGCAGTTTGCTTAATTTATTTGTCTAATCCCAGTATCCTTTGAGGGTCATCATGCACCTAATGCTTTCGTAAACATAATTATCCTAGTGATTGTAAGATGGAACAATCTAATGATAAGAAATCCATGGTGATTTAATAATCACCATGGATTTCAATTGTGTGAAAAATAGTCTTGTCATCATGGTATAAATTATTTGAATAATAATACTTCACTATGCTAAATAAGTGTTATTTTGGGGAATCTGTTCTTTACATGACCTGCTAAAACCATATTACTTGTACTTTTACTCAATTACATGTATAAGGACAAATAGTACTTTTTACTCTTTTACAATTTCATATACCCTTAAAAGTAAAAAGTGCATATGTCATCATGACTTAAATCTGAATATAAAAGTTCACCAAAAAAAGTCAATATGTCAGTTTTCCCACTGTCATTTTCACCTGCATGATTTCACAAAAGGAGTAGTTCTGAAGAATGCTCATGCTTCTCCCTACGACCATCATGGCAGTGGATGGGAAACAAAAAAACATCATATTCCAAGTTTTCCAAAGCCATATGAGGCTGTAAGGAACAGATTACAATTTATGTTATCATTCCAAGTCATTCAGACTTTAAAAGGCATAGGTGAGATGACAACAAAATGACCTTTTTTCTTTATTTTTGGTGAACTATTCCTTTTAGATAGTCTTTGGACTAGTAATGCGTTTTTATAATAAACATTGTGGTAGATCAATGAATTTCAAGTTTGACAGGTTTCTTTCCAAAGTTCATGCATCAAAAATAGAGAAAATCTACTGTTACTTGTTTTCAAACACCAATTTAAAAAGCTGAAAAGTGTGTAATTTTAACAAAGTACATCTAAATGTGGATACGTTTTACTTTGTCCTAGTATTTATTGGCTAGTAAGACTTTCAATAAAGTAAAATGTTTGACATTTGTAATTAAATACAATTTATCAATTGTTTTACAACTCATCATATACCCACCATTTCAGTTTAACGCAACATATCTGATGAATGTTTTCAGTCTAATGACTGACAATTTAGTAATATAAATGCATAATTTGCAATTATCTGCTACAGTGTTTTAGATAAGCACCTGTTTTACACACAATAATCCTGAAAATGTATTTTCAAAGAAATATTTTATTGAGGTTAGCTCAAGAATCTGATGGGACAAGTGTCCCCTAGTTTGGGCATGCATCTCTGTCACCTCATTATAATTACTCCCCTGTTGGCTGCACATCGCCTGGATGACTAATATCAATACCTCCACAACTAGAAGATATAAAGATCCCCCTAACAAAATGATCTAGAAATTACCTAGAAAATGATCAGTCTGCTGTTTTCCATATGAAAGTGAATGGTGACCACATTCATATACAAATGTAAAGAAATTATGACAAACACTAGTTCTGGGCTTTCATTTTCTGTGTGATTTTAATTCAGCCAAGTTGGCTTGATTTAGTCCTTGTAGTCATCTTTGCTTCCATATCAGGCAAGTGTGCTGGAACATCACATCACTAATCAATCAGATAAATCATAACCACGTCAAGCATGTATACCTTTTTTAATCTCTAAATGTGTTCGTAACATTTAATGCATATTCGTATAGATTTCCGTCTACTCCGGACTAACTCTAGTCTCCTATGAAACAGGCCACTCCAGACAGCACCTCTTGCTAGTGTTGCTCAACTGACTGTCCCAGCACATTTTACAGTTTTTCTCAGTCACTTTAGCACATTTCTCAGATCACAATTGAAATTCTCAAAACTGCTTGTTCAACCTCCACACCATCTAGCCACATCATAAAACCAGTTTCTCATTTTTTGAATACATTTCCAAATGCTTTGGTATGTTTATGCAATTAATTATGTGCAATTGTCTGTTGTTTCCTACATTATCAATTGTTTATGTCATGTTGATCAAAATATATCATAGCCTACTGGTTCTGTGTTGAAAAGTCTTAACCTAAAACATAGGCATTAGCTCGTTGCATAAGTAATCAAATTCAGAATGGCTGAATCAGTTGTCATAATCTCTCAAGCACATATCAGACTATTTGTCCTGAATTGATGAATTGCACAGGTAAACTAACGAAGAGTAATGTAAAGCGTTAGATCAACCACTGATCGAACCAGTTGTCTACAAAAGCTCAGACAGAGGTGCATCTCATGAATATTCAATTAGCAATATATAGACAGAGCAGAGGACAACATAAAACTGGAACAGACTACATGATTTATGCCCAGATTTTTGCCTCGATTTACAATCTGGACAAGTTTATGCTAGTTGCTGAAAGTAAGAGTCAGTCTGCAGATTTTGACCAATTTCATAGAAAATTGCATAGTGTATGATGGTCACACTCAGATTTTTTTTTTAGCAAGCTATCAAACATGTTTGATATTATGACCCAATTTAAAAAAATATTGTTTTTATTTGTCACACTTCTCCTGAAAATGAAGTGTATGTGAGTTTGTTGTGTTCAGAATTACTTGAAATTCTGGTAGTGTGTGATGATGATCCAGTCGTTTAGTGTATGATTCCCAGTTTTCCCTCTGTAATTTTTTTTTTTACAAAGTCAGCAAGCGTACCGTATGTTGCCTAGTGTTTTAAAATCTGTTCAGATTTTAAAAGTTGTGGTGTATTTCAGCCTTTAGTGTTACAATTTCTGACAATCGAAGAACAATAAGAAAACAAACAGGATCTACAGCAAAGAAGAAGATGTGTAATAAGGATGCATGGTGGAAGGGTAGAGAGGCACAACAGAGGAAGAAGAGGCCAAGGAAGTAGATTTGTTTTCAATTAAATAAGGGCCACTATTGGGACTGTTCCCAATCAT